CAAAAGAATCTGAGTAAGTAAAAGCCTACGGTAAGACAAATCGAAAAGAATCCATTCAACTACCTCTTTATTAATTTAATTGTGTTTCATCCTCCAAAGCGCTCCAACTCTTAACGCGGAAGAAACGGGAGAAGCCACAAAAGTGAAAACGGGTTTAAGGGGGAATGGTTGGTTAGTTGGTTGGCGGGGGAATGGGGGTGGGGGGAAGCGGGATGTGAGAGCCGAAGCTGCAGGTGTTTATACTCACGTTAACTACCACAAGAAAAGAAAAATTAAAAAAGCAAGGAAGGGATAACAGAGACACCCCCATTCTTTATGATTAAAGGATAAGAAACAAGGCAAGAAAATGAAAGAAGAAAGTAACATATGTAAAATACCAACCCAGTCCAGTCCAGTCCAGTTCCGACCAACAGAGTGGAAAAAGTTGAGGAAGTAAAAGGAGGGAAATTAGTGTAGTTACACCCTTTCTTCAGCTAACTTCACCTCTCGCTCGCATCCGCATCGAACGAAAGGATGAAAAAGACAAAAAGACACATATGCCTAATCTCCCCCTCCCCGTTTTTCTCACTTCCATTTCTCTATTAGAGTATTGCATTTGTGTTTGCGTGATCCTTGTCTTCAGTCTCCCGTTTCCCAGCAGCAGCAGCTCTTGTAATCACCCCCAGACTATTAGTTATGCACAGTAGTTTTGACGTGTGTAGCGTAGTGTGTTGTATATGTTTTCGTTCCCTTTTAATATACCTTCCCTTGTCATCCAACCTCCCTTTGATTAATTTTTCTGATTAACTTCTTTTTTGTATTAATTTTTCGTTTCCTTTTCATTCAAACCTCTCATTTCACGTGCCATCCTCTTATCATTTTATAGGCAGAGGAGTTGGTGATTGTGTGCGGTTGGAAAAGATACAACTTTAGCTGCTACTTCGTCTTCTAAACAAAAGATAGTGATTGGGAAAGAAAAAAAAAGAAAGAAAGAAAGGGAACTACCCCTCGACTGTGAAAGCCCGCTACGCAAGGGAGTATCAGGTCAGGTCAGGGGGAGAATTTCTCTCTCTCTCTCTCTCTCTTTTTTTTTTTTTTTTTTTTTTTTTTTCCTTCAAGAAAAAAAGGAATAATTAAAAAGAATTGAAGTGTATATTGTTTTGCGCAAGGTGATCTCTGCCAATGGGCCCTGACGATAACAGGAATAAACTGTATAGTTTTGGCTAAAGGTAGATTTGATTGTCTGCATAGATAGATAGGTTGCGTGCGGGTTGGAAGAGGCTGGAGAAGGGAGGAAGGGTGATAGAATGAAGGGGAGACAACATGTTGCAAGCGGGGCAACAAGCATTGTTTATTATTTGGTTTCTTCTTTCCTTTTTTTGACTGGGAAGTGCTCACAGCGCGGAGAATACGAAGAGCTATAGACGGTGGCATAAAGGTTAGTGTTCCTGGGATGAGAAAAGAAAGTATATTACTGGAGGGAAGGGGTGAGTGGAGAAGAATTTACATTGTTGGTAGCTGCGATCGCGATACTGTCCTCAAACGGATGCCAGCTCATGTGTAAGATCTTCTTGTTAAAATCGATCTGATCTGAGTCCGTTTCCCTCCTCATCCGGCCACCCGCACCAGCAGGACTGCCAGCTCTTGACCCACCTTTTTTATTAGACACAGAATTGATGGGAGTCGGTATGCCAACTTTCTTAGCCTTGAATGCGGTCTTGTCTGCCTGCAAGACAACTTCTGTCTCTTTGTTGGGATCGGAGGGGTATATCATGAAATTGTTGTTGTAGCTGCCGGTCATGACGTTCTCCGAATCACCCGAGAAGACCACCTCGAACTTGTCAAAGATACTATCATTTTCGTACGTATCGCAAAGGCGGGGGCGGAGGTGTTCATGGATCGGGATCGTTTTTATGGGCTGCCTTTCCATGTTCACATCCCATATTTTGACGGTTAGGTAGTCGCGGGATAATATGTAGCGTCCATCGTTTGAGAATCGGACATCGGAGATGGAAGAGATGATTTCAGAAAAGAAAGAGCGTGACGCCGCATCTTCTTCTTGTTCAAACTCTAATGGCGAGGAAAATGGAGCGGTTAGAAGCTAGGGTAAAGAAGGAATGCGAAAAGATATCAAAAGCCAAACCTCGAAAAGGCGACCAAAGGTCGAAGACTTACGTTTGTGATGCTGATCGCAGAGTGCGCTCTGCCTCATATCCGCAAGCTTGATGGTTCCCTTGGAGCTAGCATACATGAACCAATTACAACTAGTGGGATGGAACTCTGCAGCAGTTATTACTTCAGTTAGTTCTTCCATGTTTGCGGGTTTAATATCGACAATGTTGAAGCTTTGGTCTTGGATATTCAGGTTCCACAGATTGATTCGGAGATCATCACTGCTGATGAATGTTTCACCATCGCTGTTCACGGATATGCTATTGATGTGGTAGGCATGGGCATTAGCGTAGATACGGCGAGGCACTGCGGCGACTACGGTGTCATGGTGTGTGAGCCGTGGCAGTTTGAGCGATGAGGCATCGCGGAAGGAAACAAGTGGAGCGCGGGGCATGCCTCCTCCAGCCACTGCACCTGCCGGGGTCAGATCATGGGAGAGGTTGTTCTCCGCGACAACCTTTAACGACTTATCAAACACCTTCCACAACTTTATAGTCTTATCATTGGTGGATAGGAGGTAATGAGATGCATTTTGCCGCCTGCACCATTTTATTTTGTTGATTTTCTCTTCAATCTCTAAAGATTTTAGGTAATCGAATTCCGGCTCGTGAGATTGGAACTCGGTGTGGAATTTATATTCGCAGGTTTTTTTCTTGTAAAAATGTCAGCTTTTCATCCACTATAGCAAACGGATGATAGAAAGGCCGTCCATGGTGATAACGTACCGTCTCATTTCTCTCGAATAATACTACTCGTCCTCCTTTATCGCCTGTTGCAAGGTAGTTTCCCGTGTGGTCGAATTCGACCGTTGATATGATATCAGCTGTAAGGAAACGAGTCACATCAGCCCTAACCGTAGTGGATGTTGGGGGGTTGTCAAAGGTATATTAGGACCAAATGGATCAGATATTTGTGAGGTATGTGAGAACGATAGAAAAGAATGGGAGTCAAACCATCTGTGATATCTTCCACATCGCCTTTATCGCCGAAGCATCTGTTTTCAATGTGTTAGAATTTCTTAGGTATATTTAACATACCGTCAGCTTTCCCAGCAAGACGCCGCAGAAGCAGAAATAGCTGAGGAAGGGCAAGGCTGGCGGAACCGGGGGGAGCATGGCAACAAAAAGGGTCTAATATGCATTGCCTACTGGCGTAGATGGACAACACAGACGGAAGACAACGGGAGCACGGCTTACTGTGTAAACTTCCAGGTAGGCGAACCTGGATCTCTGTCTACCATCTTTCAAGGACAGCTCTCTTTTATGGGCTGGACAAGACACAACCAAAAGCCCCAAGGAAGTCTGTGGCTCGGCAAGCACTATTTTATTTATCTATCTGCGAGGTTGGATGTGATAAGACTGCAAGATCGGAGAGTAGGATGGCGGATGGCGGATGGCGGATGGCGGATGGTGCGAAATGGTGGGGAAGGATAAAAACGGAGCGAAGAGAGACGGTGGAAAGAGGAGTTAAGATAGTGTAGACCGATGGAGACAGTGGTTAGGAAAAGAAGAGTGAAGGTGGTCTATGGAAGGGGCTGGATGACTAGCAGAGACAATGCACAGAGTCAGTATATAACTATAGTGGCCTAGTTTTTGTATACGGATTTGCAGTTTTTTAGATGTTGATTTGGGATGGATCCTGCTATGCCAGACGGGCAGGCACAAGCAGCAAAACAAGTCAAGAAGAGGTAAGGCGTCAGACAACGGTGGAGGGAACGAGGGCAAAGAGAAGTAATTAACAGGAGACGACAAAGGGAAAACCATGTAGCAGTAAAGAATAGATACTTACTGTGAGAGCAAAGTGGATAAATTGTGAGTATGAACGGTGGGAGATGTAGACGCGACTGCGGGCAAGAGAAGAGGGAGAGAATAGAGTGTGATGGGAGAGTGGAAGAGG